GGCAGGGCATGACACCTACAGCTTTCTAGCAGATAATTCTAAGTACCTCACCAAATCACACATTCCAGGATTTCATAGGAAGGAGCCATGGCAATTCAAGTGATTTTGATGTGCTGTGATGGTGCAGTGTGAATACACCCCAAGACATTGTAGTGCAATTATTTTTCATGGAATACCTTGGTCTTTCCTCCACTACTGTACTTCATTCTCTTTCCCTTGGTAAATGTGTATTCCTTACAGAAACGACATCTATCTATGTCTTTGCTGTAAAGTTGACTAGAATCGTTGTACATTCCCCTTATTTTGCAGTTATCTTCTCTGCTGCCCTTTCATAGTTAAAAGGTTCATAACTTCTTTCAGGAAGTTGATGCCCAAAATAAATATCCCATCTGCCTAAAGGATAATGATGTTTTAGAACCTGTAAGAAGGAACTTTAGGTTTGTTTGTGTTGAATTTCATTATTTGCCTTTTGATAAACCTTTTAGTCAAAATGGAGTAGGAGAAAGAGATACTGGGTTTTTAATAGGTCTGACTTTTGTTATAGTTGTTGTTATGCACATTCAAATTGATTCCAACATATGATGACCTTATCCAAGGGTATTTTGGGTAAGATTTATTTGGATATGGAGGTCTTTGTCTTCTGCTTAGGCTGAGAGACTGTGATTTGACCAAATGAGTTTCCATGGCTGCATGGGGATTCAAAATCTGATCTCCATCAATCAAGCCACTACACTGGGCTGGTTCTTGGTCAGCTTTGTGGGATGTAAATCTAAAATTATTTTAAAAGTTTAAAATGTTTTAAAAGTTCTCTGCAGTCAATAGAAAAATAGAATCTTTAGAGTGAGAATAAAATGGCAAAGGCAAAGAGGTTTTTTTTTTTTTTTTTGGTGAAGATCAGTGAATAAGCAGGCACATATATGATTGGATAAAAGCCTTGATAAAAATAGAGAAGGAACATTCAGACAATGTTCTTAATGAAAAGGGTGACAAACTGTTTCATCATTGACAAAAGATAAACAGTAGTTAGATTAATGTCTTCTCCAGAAGGACTAACCTAATTTGTGCTAAAACCTTTTATCCTAACAAACTGGAATTAGGTTTCAGGCCTGTTTCAGAAGGGACTTTATGGATGCAGATTGCATGCATTTAGAACAAATTTGTCATGATATTGTATATGTAGCTTTGATGAACTACATGAGAACATCACATCTTTTTAATCATAAATCTCAATGATCCTTTAATAACCTTTTTAGGATTATTTTTATGGATTTATCCCTAAAATATTTTAAGAATTGGCTGTGATCTTCATTGTAGCTGCCAAGCACATAATACCAGACACTTTAGTCTCTTTCCAATTTAGAAGAATCTGTAGCTGACTAAGATATTTTATATTAACATACTACAGGAAAGAAAAATACGTTATTGGTTTGAGATTATTTAGTGTTCATATATATGTTAGAGCCAGGATGGTATACTGGTTTGAATGTTGGACTAGGACTAACAAATTATAATTTAGTAAAGATACAAATTTGTATAGTGTGGTGGAGTGGTTTGAACATTGGACTGGGACTCTAGGAGATCAGGGTTCAAATC